AGACCATTTCATCTAGATAATTTCCTGTCATCTAGTTCCTGAGGATTTTAAGACTTCCACAAAGATTCACAGCCTCCAGGTACCAGAACAGGTCTTACTTGGTAGTTGTCCAGCCATCCTGGAATAGGTATTTGGAATACAAGGGGAGAAAAATGTTTGATGGGATCCAGCATGGTGCCCAACCTGCTCGTGGCCATAACAGATTTGTGAAGTGACCATGCAGTTTAAGATTCCTAAACTCACCTACAGAATCATGCTGGGCAATCACTTAAACAAGCAGGGAATTCATCTAGCAGGTGGCCTCACACCCTCCCTTACCCTGCCAGGGGTTAACAGGATCTGTGGTGCTAAAAATTCATGACTAGAAAAACAGGAGACTTGGAGAAGGAGATGTAAAAAGCACTTGCAGCAAGAATTGTTTCTGTGCACTGAGAATTGTCTGATAGACCACAAGAGGCCTTTGGACTCACAGAATCACAGAGTTGTGTTGGTTGGAAAAGATCTTTCAGATCATCAAGTTCAACCCAGCACTGCCAAGGTCACCACCAAACCATGTCCCTCAGCACCACATCTACAGGGCTTTAAAATCCCTCCAGGGATGGGGACTCCACCACTGCCCTGGGCAGCCTGGGCCAGGGCCTGACAACCCTTTTGGGGAAGAAATTGTTACTCATATCCAACCAAACCTCCTCCAGCACAACTTGAGGCTGTTTCCTCTTGTTCTGTTGCTTGTTACCTGGGAGAAGAGATCAACTCCCCCTTGCTTCAACCTTTCATGGAGCCTCAGCCTCCTTTGCTCCAGATGATACCAACCATTAAAAAACATGTACAACCTTAGCTGAGTCCCCCCAGGCTGTCAGTTTACGCTTTAAGGGCTTAAATATCTCACATTAACTCCCTAGAGATGCAGATACATCCTCAGAGGTGGTTTCATTTTTAATTTTACATCACCCAATTAACTCAAAGCTGTAGACCAAAGATGGAGTTGCTCTAAGATTCAGCTACAAATCCAAACCTCTCCCTCTGCCCTGTTTCACCACTGGGAAAACAGACAATGCATCTGATGTAGACACAGTAATTGCCAAGATTTGCTGATAAGAACAATTTTCAGTGCTTCCAGTAAAACCATTCCCACCACTGTCTGAACTCAGAACTACTCATCCTGTAAAGGCAGCCACTGTTGGGGCAGTGAGAGAAATATATTGGGGATTTTATTCACATGCAGCTTTTAAAGGACTTAAAGCTTTCCCAAGCAGTGACTGGGATTTAATCCCTGCACTCAGCAAATGGGATCCCAATCTCCATGTCTGGCCAAGATACATGTGTCAGAGACTGAATCCTCCCAAACAGAAGCTCTTTGCCTGCCCTCAAAAAGCTGCTCTGGAAGTGCTGCTTCCATCTCCAGGCTTTGGAGTGCTCCAGCTGAGCATTTCTATCCTACAGTCAGCACTAATTTGTGGATACTAAAAGACAGATCATTCCAAATCTCCAACCCTCCCTTTCTAAAAATCTGGGGTTATTCTAACAAATGGAAAAATACTTCAAGATATTCAAGGCCACCTCCATAATACCTCAATTTCGACTCTTCTTGCAGCCCTGGATTAAAATCTGACTTCATGGAAGGGGAAAAGGAGGAGGAGAAGAAATAAAGGAGCAGGAGAAGGAATAAAGAAGCAAAAAGCAAAGGGGGGAAACAAAAAAAACCAACAACCCTGACACACTTTGCTCTCATTTCGCAAGCTAAACTGAACACTGGGTATTTTCCACTGCTCTGATTTAAACCAGATCCAACATCTGGGACAGCCACACTGCTGGGTCTACCTCCATCAGAAATCTGCCTCTCAAGAAGTTCACTGTGGAGGTCACAGGGAGATCAGAGAAGGGTTCACAGCCCCTCCAGCTCTTGCCACGTTTTGGTTGGTGCCAATGGGTTCTGCCAGGTCCAGCTCAAAGCCCAGGGCTGCAGTGTTCGCTCAGGTGCTGGATGGAGATGTAAGAGAGAGGATAGGAATGAAAAGGAAGCAAATTCTCCCTCTGGTGTCACATCATCAAGTAGAAAAGTCAGGAAAGGAAGTGAAGCCTGCTGAAAGGGCACCGAGCACAGGGAGGACGCAGGGATGGACTGGTGCCACCAGGGTACACGGGAAGTCATCACCCATCTGACCACACGGCAGCTCCCTCCTGCTCCTCATTGCCCTGTGCAGCCACTTTTTGGAGAAGAAATCACAGTGCTCTGTACACCACAGGCCAGTCTGAATTTCCTTTTCCCCCTATAAAGTTCAACCTGCTGAGGAGAAGAGCCAAGCAGTTTGACATGGAGACAGTGTGTTTTGGATGCACCAAGCTTTCAGTCAGGGTGCCACACAACCAGCAGCACAGGGAACACAGTCTCTGCCCCACAGCCCCTCTCCAGTCTTTCTCCCACAAAAAGTTCCTGAACTTTAGATCTCTGTTGTTTGGACCTGCCTGGCCACAGCAGGGACCAGATTTGGTTCTTTCACCACTTTTTCATCATTCAGATTTTGCATCCAGGTCTTGCTGATGACCACAGCTGACTCATTCTCTATCTTTCTGCTGTATTCATGCTCAAAACACTCACATAACCCCTGGTTACCACTGGAGGAGCTTCCTTCAGCTTTCTCATTTACAATAGCCCCTGCAAATTTGCTCCATTAGCAGTTTCTGCTTTCATGGATGCAACACCGCAGACCCACACAGAAACCTTCCATCAGGTCCCTGTGAGGAACCCCTCACCAAGAACCAACACTCCAGAGCAGAAGAAGAAAAAACAACAAACCAAACTTAATATGTGAGCTGCAATGTAGGCACAGGATGAGGGATGTTGGCAGGACAAGACCTCATTCACCATTTGCAACTCATTACTTCTGGTTTTGGACAGCACAGAGCCTCAGCACACCAGTCCCACCTATTGAACCCTCCGTAGATCAACCACTGTCAACAACTACCAGCATAGTAGGCTTGTGCACAGAGGGGAGATGACCAAAAGTAGAAGCAATATTAGAAGACAGCAAAGAGGTTACTAGCACATCATGTTTTACCAAATCCTGGGAGTCTACATGAAGTTCTGGAAAGCTTCCTGCCTGGTTTAGCCTTCCATCTGTTGCCAACCGACCCCATAGCACACAGATCCCTGTTTGCATCCTGGTATTTGGCAACAGCAAGAAATATTTCCTAGCAGGAAGAAAAAAGAAATAAAAAACCCAATACAAAACACACCACCCTCTTCCATTCACACTGCAACATCTCCTGGACATCCCTGTGGGCCTAATTCCCAGAACATTGAAATCCAAATGGGAAAAATATACTGATTACCTGCCAGTAACCTCAAGAGTGGCAAGCCAAGCCCTTAATAGCAGCCTGCATTACCATCTGGCTACCACACAGCGACTGGGAAAATGTTATTGTTCTGAGTTGGACTTGCTTGTCAAGATAATTGCTTCAGCATTAATTAAATGTTCCTCTCTGCAAATGCATAGAAAGCTCACGTGGATAATCCCCCCCCACTGCACAGGATAAGCTGCTCTGGAACCAGTGGGCACAGCAAAGCCACTAGACCCAGGCCTGCCTGTGGATCACCAAACGTTAACATTTTAGTTTAAAAAAAAAAACCACCTGAATATTCATCTCAAAAATGTGAAGACGAATTATAAGCATGACTTTTTACACCCTCAAAACAGTTAAAACATTGAGGGGAGTGAGAACCACCCCACCACCCACTCAAAGCATTTAGTGCTGGAGTCACCCCCACACACCCATTTCCCATCTATGTCAGCAGAGTTCACTGGCATGCAAATCTTTCTCAGCTGAGGATACAAAGGCATTTCACAGTGACACAGCTACTCTGAGCCACCAGGAGAAAATTCACCCAAAGCTCTGCTTGAGGCAATCCAGAAGGACTGTCCTCACTTGTAGCCAGCTGCTGTAGTCACGTCTAGGAGATCCTCAGCAGATGGGATCTGAAGAGATCCTTCAGCTTCAGCACAACAATTGTCTCTCTCCATGGGGTGGCCCAAACCCAGCTGTTTCTCCACCTTCACGTGCCCTGGTCCAACTTCAAGAGTAAGCTCATGGAATCCTAGAAAGATTTGGGTTGTAAGGACCTTAAAGATCATCTACTTCCAACCCCTCTGCCATGGGCAGGGACACCTCCCACCAGACCAGGTTGCTCCAAGCCCCATCCAGCCTGGCCTTGAACATCTCGAGGGATGGGCCAGCCACAGCTTCTCTGGGCAACCTGGGCCAGGCTCGCACCACCCTCATAGCAAAGAATTTCCTCCTCATGTCTCACCTAAATCTCCATTCCTCCAGTTTTAATCCTTTGCCCTTCATCCTATCACTCCCTGCCCTTGTCCCAAGCCCCTCCCCAGCTTTCCTGGAGCCCCTTCAGGCACTGGAAGGTGCTCTAAGGTCTCCCTGGAGCCTTCTCTTCTCCAGGCTGAACAGCCCAACTCTCCCAGCCTGTCTCCAGAGCAGAGCTGCTCCAGCATCAAGAAACTGTGATTTCTTTAGCCACCCCTCATTTTTCTAATGTTCATCTGCTGATAATCCTACATACAGTTCAATTGAACATTAGATTAATTAATGTTAACTGTACAAGTAACAGCAGATGAAAGGGCCTGAGAGTCCAGAAAGACCTGCTAGCAGTTCAGAATCTCACTGTGGATTCCCTATCACAGGTGAGTGTCATTATCGCTCAAAAGCCACACTAGCTTAATTGAAGAGCCTGACAAATTACATTCAAGACTGGATCATCATATTTACATATCCACTTCTACCAATTAACCAAATGAACCATTGGTGCAGCTACAAAGCAATTCAGTACTTGCATTTTCTGCTTTCACCCAACTGCAACAAATTTTGACCCAAGCCTGCCTCAAGAAAGTGCAGGACACTTCAAATGCCATTTATTTTTCTTTATGTTCTGCAGCTCTGTTTCCACATTGTCCTTCGTAGAGAAAATGAGGAGAATGTCAAGATACTCCACTGGGAAAACTCAGGCCAAAATCCTTTCCACATTGCCCTGGACACATCTCAACCTCTTCTTCTTCTGTGTTCAATGTTTGACCCAGTTTAGAAGAAACTAAAGGACCCAAAGAGCCCAGAGGTTCTCAGGAGGCACAGGCAGGGATTGTCCTGACACAGATTACATCGCTATGCTCTTAATTACATTGAGCCACTTTTCTGTTGAGATTACAGGCTGTGACACTGCCGTTGGAACCTCTGAAGTCTCTCCAAAACCTTCTCTCACTGTTGAGAGCTTAGCGCTCTTGGTCGAGTCCCAAGCTGTGGAAATTTGGGCTGTGTTTTGATCAAAGGCCTCCTCGTGTTCCGTGCAAATTTCAACACTTGCGGTCTCTGGGTTCCCTCGCCAAGCTCGAGCCGTTGCCTTTCAACACCCGTTGCTCTCTGCTTCTTTCAAGGGGTGATTAGGCACGGCTCTCGAGCGCAGCTGGCATTTAAGAGGTTGTTTGAAGGCCTGGGACAGAGTTTTACATAATAATCATGAATTTGTTTAATTAGGCTCTACAAAATGTTTCAATTTGAGATCAAACGGTTCAACTTTTTATTCCCCTTCTCAGCGATGTACTCTATCTTGAAGGAACTATGAGAACTGAACAAATTACAGAAGCAAATGAGCTCGCAGAGAACCAGAGCAGGAGGACACATCAAACCTCCAAAGGTCCCTGTATCTCCACGTGCAGGGGCTCTTCAGCAGAGCACATCTCCAAGTATATAACCTTTGTTAATGAAGTCAGAGCATCATCACCTCCTCTCTCCAGCAGCCTGAAGACCAAGACAAATCCCAATTTCCCTGTCAGGGAAAGAACTACTACAGCTCCCTTTGACTCCATTACAGTAAATCTACTTCTCCCAAGCACAGTGCTCACATCAGGCACAGAGAAGAAAAGCTGTAACGACCAATGGCACCACAAAACTAGGGCATCCTCTTAGTGAAAGAAACCAAACCTCTCAAGGCCACTTCTGACCTACACAAGAGCACCCTTCTCCATCAAGGGCCTTACCTGAAGAAAGACTATTTCAAGCTTTTTCACTATGTTACTGCCCAATGCAGAAGCCTTCCTTCAATGCAGGAGTCCCAAGCAAGATACTCCAGGGTAAGCATTTTCCCCTGGGCATCAAGATATAGAGGAGGTTTCTACTAAATGAGTATCAGCCAGACTTGTGGCAATTACACAGCACTTAGTGCACGCATGTCCAACAGATGAACACACAGGACGGTGCTGGATGGCAGCTGAGACATGTTTTACTTGCTCTGAGCCTGTCAGTGCTCCCAAGCACCAGGTTCTGATGATATTTTAACAAAGGAAGGACTATTTCCCAACTACACTCTGGAAGCTGATGCTACAACTGCTGACAGAAATATCTGTTTTCTTTAAAAGAATATCATAATAACCTAGAAAAGCTTCCAATGATAAAACTCCATCTGCATTGACATGGCAAACATCAGGAGACCTCCCCTAACATGGGAAGCAAACCAATCCCTCCTGCAAGAGTTCAGTCTGGGTAAAACCAAGCATCTTGAGGAACTTTTAATGCCTGAGAGGTGATAATAACAGTTGTTGGGTAGGGAAGCATTTCACAAACCTTCTTGAACACGCTAATGGGGTATTGCAGGCTTGACCTTTTGGCTGGACATAGCTTCACACTAGGATGGGATCCAAGCTGTTCCACACTTCTGGATGTCAGCAAAAAGATCAAATGCCCAACGAGGCCAATTCCTTCCTCTGGCCCAAGGGAGAGGTTATTTCTTCTGCAACATCAGTTTTGAATTCATCTTGCCTCGAGTGTGCTGCAAAGACCTCAGTCCATGACATGAGCACAGTTCATTTACCCCAGGGCAGATGCAGCAAAGGGGCAAATATCAGGTAAATAAGGGCTGAAACTTCATTCACTGCAGGAGGGGAATTTCCCTCTGGACAGACTCAATCCTCCTTGTTCACAAATGCTAAAAGAGCCACAAGCAGGACTAGAGTTACCCAAAATGAATGCTTCTGTTCAAAGCTGACAAATACGATGGGTTTTTTTTCCCCATAGCATCTTCTTCTGGACCAAGCTAAGCCCTGAAGGACTGTGTTGCTCTTCTGCGCTGTGTTTGGCAGTGAGGTCACTCAGCCTCTGTCACTGCAGCTGTGAAGATGCAAAGCACATTTGGTTGGGTTTTCTTCGATTAGCAGGAAAAACGAGGTCTGACAACATCTCAAGCTCACCAAGGGTGAAACACATGGAGGGTAACAGGAGTTTCTAATCTGATCTCAAAGTAGCACAGAGAAGCAGGCTCTAAGGTCCAAAGTCAAGAATCCCAGTTGACTGCAGTTTTCCTGGGATTATTCTTGCCCTTCCATGACCAGCTTTTTTTTTTTTAAACATCCTTTGAAGACAACAAACCAGGTAGCACAAGTCTTCCATGCAGACCCACAGCTGAACTTCTGAAGCCTCGTGTATTCCCAAGCCTGAGATTCTCCAGAAATTATTTTAATCTTTCTGCTCAGTCTTGAACAGATAAATTATTCAGCCACGTTCCTTGAAGATGCACAAGGAGCACCCATGAGATCAAACAGAAGCTACTGAAGATGAGAAAATCAAGCTGCTATCCATATGCATGAAGAAAGAGCCATCTATAAATAGCAAAGTAGGAAGTTAAGTCTCCTTTAGGAACATAATTTATATGAAGTTGTTTTTGTTCCCAACTTCAGAAGTGAGAAATAGGAGGAGGAATAAAAATTTATTGCAATCTGATGTAGCTGTTGGACAGCAGTTTCACATCTTTGTGTTCCCAGAAGCTGCTTCACGTGAGAGCGAGCGCCAGCTCCAGAACCCAGCAGAATGTAGAGGGGCAGAGCAGCAACACGCTCCCCAGTGCACACCATGGACGTGTCACACACACACAGTGGACGTGCCATAGACACAATGGCTACATCACAGACACATACACAGTGGCCGTGTTACAGACAGTGGCCACGTCACAGACACACACACACACGCAACGGCCACGTCACAGACACACACACACACGCAACGGCCACGTCACAGACACACACACACACGCAACGGCCACGACACAGACACACACACACACACAAACGACACG